ATTAAACCTCAAATTCCAGCATTATGTTAAAGCCTCTTTTAATTTTTTTTTTTGCCTTATCCTAAACTTATGCAATCTTTGAAATAGTTTCGTATGAGAATGAAAAAATTACAAACCTTTGGTTTGTCCCAATTTTATTTTAATTTTGTTAGAACAACAATTTCATATTATATTTTTTTACAGAATTTTTTCTTGAATTCAACCATTAAAAAATCTTTTATGGTACAGAAAATGTAGCAAAACAACACCAAACTTTATAATTTTTCAAGGCCTTAATAAAAAGTATACAATCGAACAAAATGCCACTATTATTGCTTTTGATCAATTATTTTAAGTTTTATTATTCTATTGTTTATAGAATTTATTCTACTTTAATTAACAATTAAAGTAGAATAAGTTCTATAAACAGTTTTATTTATTGAAAAACCACTGATTTTTCATGAAAAATTCCAATGTTCTGTAAATGAGCCTCTTGAAAAATCTCAATGTTCTATGAATGAGCCTCTTCAGAAATGCTGTCAACAATTTATTATACAAAATTTACCATTTCAATTAAAATTTCAATAAAAATGATTAAAAGATTAAGTATAACAAATAAAACTTTCGATAAATTAAAAGATCTTCTTCTCTTTCTTGTTCCTATGGCTATAATATAATGCAAAATGCGCGATATAAAATTGATTCTGCATTAGAAAATTTAATAAAAATTGCTCTCTTTAATTTAAACGCACACTTTTACATAAAGGAAGTTAAGTTACCTCTAGCTGTTTAAATGTTTTTTGTCGTAATTGAAGTTAGTATAAATATAATCTGGCGTGCATTTTAAAGTATTTCCAAATCAGCAAAATAATTTTACAAATTTTCATTATCACTTTGGCTGGTGTTGACAATTTTTAGTGAATAATTTTATATAATTGTACATTTTAAACTAAAGTCCTAAAATTTCACATTAATAACATAAAAATTTTATTCAAGGCCATAATCCTTTCAAGGTTTACTATTACTTTATTAATTCCTTATTTTATTTTATATTTTAAATCATAAAGTCAATTGAATTGTTTAAAAAGCTATTTAAGATTTGAAATTTAGTATTCGTACGTATAAAATTAAAATTTAAATACTTTATGTTTAACATTAAAATACGCATTGTTGACTTAACAACAAATTTTTTTTCTCTTCAATAACATTTACACATATGTGACGCTTTCATACACATGTGTATACATTTATATGTACGTGTATATTGAATTATATTATTGTACTTAAATAACGTAAATAATGTAAAATGTAAATAACAAGTACACATACGTACGTTTATAAATATTTTGTTGTTGAATACATAATAATAAATGATCATCTAAATAAAAATGTTTGTACAAATATATAGAATAATATGTATGTATGTAGATATATGCTTGTATAATGGGAGTACGTACGTTTTATATAATGCATGTGCGATGATATTAAATTTACCCTTAAATTTTGTGCCATAAAAAAACAATTTTTACAAAGTATGGAAAATTTTTATTTTTTTTTTTATTTTTGTTTTGTTATTTTATCTTCTCACTACATTTGTTTTTAAAAAGTTTACAATGACACACAACGAGCCTATGACGACGTTTGTTATGTCATTAAAAAAAATTTTGTTTTTACTTTTTTGTTTTTTGTTTTTTAGTTAAGGAATTCATTTTCGTTACTGTTTATTTAAGCGTTTTTTTTAAGTTATTTTTGTTGGTATTCTTGTTTTAGTGCTGTTTCATTCTTCTTTGCATTTTCTGTTTTCGTTTTTTTTTTTCCCAAAAAGTCATAAAATTTTATTTTTTATTGTATAAACTGTTGACTACACCTTAACAGGTAACATAACGTAATCCACGTCCTTTATTTACATAAATAAAATTTTTTTTCCTGAGTGAACCGAAAAGAAAGAAAAACAGAAAAATAAGATGATAGAATGAGATGAGAGCAAAATCAAAAGAGAGAAGGGGAGAGAGTAAAATTTAAACAAAAATGATACTAACACATAGCTGTACTGTACATTACACATTTTCTTAAAAAAAGATGTCGCCTTAATATTTCTTTTTCAATGTGCGTTCAAACAAAATATGCGTTCGTCGAAGAAAAGTTGTTGTTCATTTCTTATTGTTTGTTTCTTTGAATGTGCTTTTTTTCATTTTTATTATTTGTAGGCCTTAAATTAGGAATTTCGTTTTCATTTAATAAAAGTTTATATACATACATACACACATATATAAGTAAAATAATTTTTGAGCAAAAGATGATATGATTTAGTTTTGCTCTTTTACTCTGTTTTCTGTTTTATGATAATTTTTTCTTCAAAAAAAAAAAAATAAAATAAAAAGCTGGTTAATATCTTAAATTGGTAAGGATAATTCCACTAAAAATACGTGCTCTTAATCCCTAAACAAAAAAAAAAAATAACGGGAAAAGCCAGAAAAATAAACAAATAAATGGAAAGGATTTATAGATAAGCGGGTAGAAAATGAAAAACAAAATATAGAAGAAATAAAAAAATACTTTAAAATTACAAAAAAAAATGAAGAATATTGCAAGGTTATTAAAAAACCGAAATAATGATGAATACGAAATGAAATTTAGGAAAAAACGAAAACTAATTCCACGTTGAGACTCAGTAAACTTTCTTTTTTTTTAGAGAAAATCAAAATATCATTATGGCACGCTTTACATTTCTCTAATATTTATCTTATTGTTTGAAAGAAGAAGAGCAAATCAAAATCAGTTTCCTGTTAAAATCCAATTTCTAAAACAACGAGCGCATTCTTCAGATTAAGGAAGTCTTTGAATTTATAACACTACAAGAGATCTTAAGAATTTTTAAATTGGTTCAATTTATTATAATTTATATCTGAACTACATCAGAAGAGGCTTAGACCACTGATCTTTCCATTTATACCTATACACATTTTTGCACTCTTTAAAACTTTTTTCCTTTTCCACTTTTGTCTTCTGAGGAAATTTAGTCCGAGTTGAGTTTTGCTGCTAACTATTTTTAGAGGCCTTCTTCTATTGGTTGTGTTTGCTAGAAAGGAGACGTACATTGAAGGACAGGTGGATGTTTTCAACATCTTTTGGAACATGGAGGTAAAAGCTGAAACTTCGATCTAATCAGATTTAACTTTACTAGTTCTCATAGATGAAGCCAATATCTTGTATATCTCATTTAATAGTCGGTATGTCACATATTGTTTTTAAAAAATTTTTGTTCATTGGGTCTCATTTAAAAAAAAACTAATCAGCTCAAGTTATTTAAATATTAAATTAGAAAGAAGCACTGTACGCAACACTTAATATACGTTTTTTAAAGCAACTCTGGTTTATTTTAAGGGTAAATTTTTTGTAAGTCAATTGATTTTTCTCAAATACAAAATTCTTCAATACAACAAAATACAAAATCCTCCGACCTTCACATTAACCATATACGTTCAAAAAAATCAATAGCTGCTTTTAAAAAGCAATATAAAATAGCTTGGCCCTTGAATATTCTGTCATATGCACCGAATTCACTTTATTAAATCTTATAATATTATTGGTAAATTTATTTTATATGAATACAGCCTCAAGCGTTTCTTTGAAAATTCCTACTATATAAAGGAAAATAAAATTTTATAAAAATTTATTGAGCACATTGTTGTTTGAAAAGGACCGACTACAAAATACTTTTTTGGGACAACAAAAGTAAAATGAAGAAAGAATATTTTTTTTTGTGTTTTTTTGATCATTCAGACTTTTTAAAAATTTTTTTTTTGCGTTTCAGCTCCAAGTTTTTAAAATTTTACAGAAGAGTTTTGCTTACGATTTCATATATGTGTGGGTATAGATGAAACAAAGACTATATAAAAGTACTTCTTCTATATAGAAAAAGTTGGCTGGTATCCTTTCTGTTCTATATATTTTTTATGTTTAGATTTTGGCTCTATACTCAATAATCTCTTCAGAATCTCTTCAGAAATAAAAGAAAAATTTAAAAATAAAAAAAAAACATTTGATTAACCCGTAAATTTTTGGTACCGTGTTTTGCTTTTCCTTTCTTAGCATGTTCTTATTTTTCGTAATTGTTAAATATCTGAATTGAAAAGATTTATTTTATTAAAGGTATTTTAATATTTAAATATGCCAGATTATGTAGGACTATTAAGGAAATAATATATTAGAATACTCTCCTTTATTCAAAAATATTCTTAGGTATTCTCAAAAGGAAAAAAAGAGAATCTATATTAAATTTCACAGTTGAATTTAATTTATTAAAATTTTATCTTGAATATAAAATTAAGAAAAGCGTTTGTTAAAGGAAAGGAATACAGAAACCGACAGAAAAGGTCCTTGAAAAATTAATAAAAGAGAAATGTATTTGATTATTTTTTAAATAATAAATTTTTTTCGAAGGTGCTGTACAAAATATACAATATTTTAGCTTTTAGCCATGAAGAGTTAAAAGAAATTTTTAAAGCAAATTTCAATATTTTAAAAACAAATGGGCGGCTGTCAAATATGAGAGAGATACTATTATGAAATTAAATGCTTAAGAACACTTTTTATAATTTTAAACATAAGTGAAATTAGCTAGAAGTTTTGTATCACAAGCATTTAAGAGGTAATTTTGAAAAAAATTAAATATTTTGTTGCCTTAAAAAATAATTGATCTTCAGAAAGTTGATCGAAATAAAGAAGTTAAGAAAATACAAAGCAGTAGTTCGCATCTAAATCTCATAAACTTTACAAAATCTCTGATTCATCTGCAAGCAAATAAAGATATGCAAACCATTTTACATTGATGCCTACAGTATCCAGATATTGTGAAAATTCTTTATATGTGCTACATTAATTAAAAACAGATCTTAACAAAATGAAATAATCAACATCCTTTTTTTTTTATTTATATAAAAAAAAACTATTTTACAATATTAAAGGACAATGTAAGGAAGATGCTTTTAAAAAAATTTTTTTTTTATTTTTAATTCCAGCAAATAACAATTTGTTCATAAATCTGTGGAATTCCTTAGGGGGAACATAAATTAAGACACGATACGCATGACTTCGTGGTAGGTTCTTTTTGTTTTTTGAAAACATGCATTATAATAAATTCACGTAGAAAACGACAAAAAATAGAGTTAACCGTGTCAACTCTGTGTTACTAGATGATGCTTTTTGACACTTAAATAAAAAAAATTTTATGCAAACATTTTTCTGAATTTCTCTATTACTAAACCTGGTTGTACTTGGCTTGACAAATTGAAATTTGCATGGGTTAAATCCGAATTATTTTGCATTCGCAATACGGCTATTATACGAACTATATCATAAAATTATTTTAAATCCGGAACCATTGCATTGATTTAACCCAAATATTTGTTTACACAGACAGGCACTTATAGTTAAAACTGCTCACAATCGATGTTCATCAAAAATATTATACTTATGCCTATATCTTAGAAGTCTATTTCTTATCGTTACATATGAAGTTGCAGATTTATAATACCCACCGAACATTCGCCCGGACGTATATAATAAACGAGTGTAAGTGAATTATGAAACATTAAAAATATTGTCTGGAATAAAATTATTATATGTCATATCAGTGCTTTATTTTCATATAAGAGAATGACCATTTCAAAGAGATTCATTTGAATTATTATTTAAGGTTCTTCATTGGAATTCCTGTGTTAAAAAAAAAAAAACAGTATTAAAAGTTCTGAAATCTCACGGTACAAAAGTTTTAATGTTTTTTAAAAAATAAATCAAAAAATATTTTCAAATAAGTGCTTTTGTTACTCTTAATGAAATCAGGACTCCATAATTTTGTAATTAATTATTTTCATTAGACCTATGGCCTTTAGAATAGCATAAAATTTATGAAATTTTTTCTCGCGTACAGTGAATTCCGCTTCTATGCAATTAAAGAAGGAGTCATAAAAATATTTAATGTTAATTTTTGTAAGTACGTGATGGCACAATTGTAATACGGCAGTGTTACGGATAATTAATTTGATGGTGATCGATGCTCTTTGTTAATGCAAGACAGTTCATCACAATATTGTAATTTATTTTTAAAACCTTTCGGTATCTGCAATAATCATTTGAGAGTACATTCCTTCAAATATTTGACACATTCTTACAAGATAACTATTACAATTTCTTGAATAATTTAAAGACAACATCTAGCTATGTGCATGAAACTATTTTTTTTTAATTAATTATATGTAAAATTTTAATTATAAATTGCTTTTAAATAAATTAAGAGCACGTGCAGCATAGAAGCACATGGAAACAGAAGATAAGCAAAAAAAAAAATAATGCGTACTTTTACGGCAATTTTTTTAATTATAAAAATTAATTAGATTGACACAAAGCTTACGAGTCTGATAGTGTTCTTTTTTTTTCGAAAAAGGTATAGTATGAGTTATGCGTACCGACGTCGGATTTGATGCATATGATTTTATTCGCAGAATCCTTTTCATTCTAGTTATGTTTTAAAATTCAACAAAACTACAACATTTCCAACAAAATTGAAAAAAAATTTCCTGATATTAGTTTTAGTCTATCAGTTAGTCTGCTTATGTGTTTTGTTTACAGGCATTTAGAAATGCCTTTTAAACTCTTCTTTTCAATTTTAAGGAAATTAACAAGCTTTTAGTCAACATACTTAGAAAGGCGTCAATTTAGCTCTTAGTGGAATTTTGCTTTGTGCCATGGAAAAAAATTTAAATTCCTCCCGAAGTTTAGCTTCTAAGCTACGATCTCTCCAAAAAATTTATCAGTTTATTGTTTTAATACCCCAAAATGAAATATTAAATTTCAAGAAATTTGGTTGATTTCTCTTCTTTATGTGCGCAAAAATGTAAAATCGGACCAGAAAAGGTCTTCAGAACTTGCACGCTTGTACACACACCGATAGATAGATAAACCTATATCTCTAGTTTATATATGTTTTTCTATCATGGAGAAGTGCGTTTCCATCGAAAACTCAATATACTAAATTTGTCGGCATAGAACAGAGTCTCTCTTATGATACGGAATGCGGTCGGTAAAAATAGCTCGAAAAAAAAGAACACAGAAGTTTTTTTCACCACTTATTATTTTATATTATAAAAATTTTTTTTTTAATCTGGGACATTTAATTTGCAAAACGAGTGTAACTCAAATATGCGTGGTTTATATTGAACAAGGGCAATAAAGAACTCTTGTAAATTATTTACAAGATTACTTTCAAATTCCATTGCAAAATTTTGCATGCATGTAATTTTTTTCCGCTTATACTTAAATTTATAAATTTTTGGAAAATTTTATAACCTGTCATCATTATATATGTATGTACCAATAATTTCATTTATGATTGATGGGTTTTTTTTTGGTATTTTTCGTTTTTAATAAAAATTAAAATTACCTTTATTATGATGAAAAAAATGTTGAAGTCTTTTTATTATTTTTTGTTTTTTTTTTTTTTAAATCCTTATTGATACAACCTATTATATCCTATTGGGGCTAATGGTATCCTAAATAAACAAATAATGAGTGATTGATGTTCGCTTAACACTAATTGATATTTAAAAAGGCCAATGGATTTATATGGATAGATTGCGTTTTTAGCACTTCTTCAAAAACATTCTGAAAAAAAACTACTTATTTGTTTTACTCTGTCTGTCCGTTCGTGGGCCTGTTTACAAAAATTTTACACCCTTGCAAATAGAAAGCTGAAATTTTTCAGCTTTCTATTTGTTAAAAGCATATTTCCTCAGAAAAATATTTTTTCCTACCTCCTTCTCATCTAAATGCCATTTTTTACTATTTAGAAGGAATAAACATATTTCAAATTCTGCGAGTTTATAGTATATTAATAAATAATTTATTTTGTTAAAACAAATTTTTTTTTAACACCATCTCCTCAAGTTATCGTCTCTCGTATCAACACCTTATATTTCCACATCTTCAAGCTTTTCCATATCTCTATAAATATAGAAACTAACGGCAAATTATAAAAAATATAATTATTTTTCTTAACTTACGTAATTAACCCTTAAATTAGAGCACTGTGTTAACGCTCCTTAATTTATTTTTTTGCTCATCCTGAATATATGCAATATTTGAAAATTTTGGTATATTTATGAATGAAGGTTTTTAATTAATGAGTAGATTGTTTTTAAGCAGTTTTTCACTTGCTGAAGAGAAAAGTGCTAATTTCCAAAACATTAATTTGACTCAACTATTTTTTTTGGTTATTGCATAGCATCATTTCATAATACTGAAATCAGTTTAAAAAAATTTTGTGACCTTTATCTTTCAGGATTTTTTTGTGTTTTGATTGAAATTTTATAAAACAAATAAAGATATAAAAATTTATTACTTAATTCTAAATCGATTAGGGTACTTATTTTTTTTTTGTTTGAATAAATATCACATAGATAAGTTTGATATAAGTCAACAATAACTTTTAAATAGCCAAGTTTAAAGAAGAAAAATTTAATAAAAGTCCTGACTGTCACCTATTATCATAGACCTCTGTAGTATATAAGTTAAAAAGAAAGAGACGTGCATACTAAGGTAAGTCGCATATTTTGTTAATGTTGATTAATTTCTAAAATCTGATTTAAATAATAATGTTATACAATTAAACTAAGTCTATATATAAACTACATAGGTAGGATAACTTCAAGATTTATTAACCAAGAAATTGAACATTTAATATTAAACATTGACACCGAAAATATTTGAAATGCCAATTTTTTTAGCTCAAATTGAAATTAAAGCCAGCCTAAGGAAGGTGATTATTTATTTTATTAGCCAAAAACAATGTCTATTTATTATCAGATTATTTATAAAATGAGCTTGGTTTTTGGAAATTATCAATAGGGACAGAAAGGCTACTAACCAGCAGCAATACACATAATTATTGGAAAAAATAATGAAATAAAAGATTCTGAGTTAAAATAGCAGAAGAACTAAATAGCTTAAATCCAACAACAAAAGGTTCCACTACTTATAGAAAAGCAATTTTTCAGTTTTATTTTAAGCATAAAAGTTGTTGATCTTCACTTGGTAGTTTTTAGCTTTGGCTAGATTGGAAAACTAAGGTAAAAAAAAAAAAGATTTAACTAGTACTGATGCGCGTTACGCTCGTTTCTTAATGATGAGGGAGAACTTATTAGGTTAACCGGTTAGATTTAAAGCACTGAAACGACAACTAGGTTACCTTTGCCAAAAAATGAACTGTAAGGTGATAGAAAATATAGAATAAGTATAGAATTAAGGATATAGAAAAAGTCCAAGCTCATTTATGATATAAATTATAATACAAATGATTTTCTAATACATACTGAATTTATAATACAAATTTTTCGTAGTTCGGAGAAAGCTATATTTTTCATTCGAAACTTCCGTCAAAAGAAGGGTCTCGTGAGATCCTTCAAAAAAAGGGTCTCATTGGAAAATATTTTAGTATTTTATAATTTAGATTAATAATCCACACAAATAAAATTTTATACTGTATAACAGTTTCCAGACAATAATAAAATAATAACCTCGATTGTATAAGGGATAGGCATTGCCACAACCTCTTATATAATGTGCTACGTTTCAAACGAATTTATTAAGCATCTCAAGTTCTTAATGTATTCATTTTCTCAACTTAGTACTTCTACAATCTCTTATACTTTAAATAAATTTGAAATTTTTTTATCAATTTATACTGTAATAAAAGTAGATTTTAATACAATTAAAAAATAAAATTAGTTTTTATTACAATGAACCTTAAACAAAACTTTCTGAAATAAAAAACAATTATAATTGTCATTAAAAAACTTCAATTACTCAACTCAAATATTTTGGAATCCTTTATAATTTTAAAATTTTACACCTTTTTTGAACGCATCCCGCTTTCATCAAGAAAGAATTTTATGCTTCATTTAATGTTTTGCTTTTTTCTTTGTTATTTAAGATCCGTGTTCTATATGAATTCCATTTTTAAAAAAAAAAATTATATACTTTAATTATTTTTCCTGTTGATGGCACATAATTAAAATATTAAAGAAGAAATTTTGTTCGCATG